CGGCCAGGGCCCGGCCCGGCCCGGCCCGCAGCGCTGAGGGGAGCGGGGGGGGTTCCTCTGGTAAATCCAGCCTCAAAAGGAAGTCTGTTATTTCCCCCCCCGCTCTGGGCCGGGATGCAGGTGTGCGTGCTCTTGCACACTTGCACCGCTCCCCCCCCCCCGCCTCCTCGCTCCTCCCAGTGCCCTCCCCAGCCCGCAGCACTGGGTGGGACTGGGAAGGTGACTCCCCCTTGCCCGGGGCGGGGTGGGGTCCTATCAGGTGCATAGGTGTTGTTTTTTGTAGGGTTGGAAGGATGCTCACAACCGTGATTAGATCATGGATTATTATTAGATGGTCTAGTCGAGCGACCCCTGTGAAACACCTGCGGTGTGGGGGAGGCTCGCTTTCCCCCAGGTGCTCGTAGGGTGGAGGCCTGCGCGTTTCCTGATGGATACAGAAAAGTGCTTTGTTTTTTGGGGGAGGGTTGGGGTTTTTCTTGCTTGGGTTCGGGGCGGTATGTCAGCCTTCAGTGTAGGGTGTCCGAGGACATGATTCATTGCAACCCTTTGGAAAGGTGTAAGGAAAGTAAGTCCGCTTCGAATAAGATCCCCTCGGATTCAGTGCGACCATTCAAAAAGGTTTGAAGGGAAGGGAAGGGGTCCGCTCCAAATAAGACCCCCTACAGATTAGTTTTCAAACAACTGGGGATCTTATTTGGAGTTGCCTTTCGTTCAAACTTTCCGAACGGTTGCTGATGGGATCTTATTCGGAGCGGACGTGCCGTCCCTTTCATTAAATCTTTGTGAATGGTTGCATCGAATCGGATTCACGCTGAGTTCGTTAGAGAAAAGCAAACTACCAATCTACCTGACTCGTATTTTTTTGTTTTAGTTTCCCCTTTCCACTCATGTAAAGGAGGGCATACTGCTTTGTTCGGGAGATGCTAGTGTACATGTTGTATTAAAGAGCGATCTAAATTTAGGAATAGTTTTCTTCTCTTACTAATCCATCGCATAGGTTTATTAGTAACTTTTAATTGTTTTGGGGTTTTTCCCCCCTAATGGTTTGTTGATGTACTCTTTAGCAAATATCGGCCTCGGGGATCTGCAAGATGAATAGGTTTGTTAGTAACTTAGAAACTTTAATTTGGGGGATGGACCCAATGATCTTGCGAGGTTCCCTATGTGAAATGCCATTTGTGAAATCTATGAAATTGTTTATTTTTCTCCTAATGGTCGGTTGGTATATTCTTTAGCAAATGTCAGCCTCACGGATCTGCAAGGTGTATGCAGCATGTGTTTGCATTCTCTCTAAAAATGTGTTGATTGATATAACTTCCACGTATTGATTAAATGAAACTACATTGTACGGCTTGTTCAGTGTGTCGCATGATAGTTGGTACTGTTGTCTTCTACATTTTCACTTTGTGTCTTTGTTTATATCCTGTCTTTGCAGGCAGACAGTTGTGTTTAACAGTCATGCTTGAGCATATCCCATACATAGATGTAGCCTAATGTAGATTCTGATGCTGTAAGAAACTCTTCATTCAGGACAAACCCTGTTAACTTCAGCAGAGCTTGGTGTGAGAAACTTGCTTTCATAAAACTCATTATTGAATCGGGCCATAGTAGCTAAACGGTCATTGTTCCATGAAGTTTGTGTGCGTCTCGGTGATTCTCAACCTGGGTGCCATTTGTGTTTTTATTTTTATATGTAGATATATTATTTAGTTGTTTCCTTTGTGCACTTGCCAGCACTTCTGTTTATCCTGTTTTTCATTATTTCCTTCTATAATTATTTAAGTCCATTTCTCCTGTTTTGGGCCTGTCTTTTGGCAGCAGAGGAGAAGAGAAACAGTGCTAAAAAATGAAAATGGAGTTGTAAAACAAACAGGGGAAAAAAGGCATAGGTACACAGATGCAGGTAGAACAGTCGAAATAATACACTTTTAGGATTGTCTGATCTTTATTTATTTATTTATTTTTTCAGTCTGACTGTTCCTTTGGAGCAGTAGGAAGTGGAGTTTTGCTATCTCACTAGAGAAGTTGATATTGGTTTGATCTCGGGCAGTGGTTCTCAACCTTTCTGACTCGAGGCATCCCTCGAGGGGGTGGGGGAACAGCTCTTGGTTTTCACTTCTTTTTCTATAGTGAAAAAAAAAAAAAAAAAAAGAATAGAGCTATTTTCCTGCTGCAAAGAACTCGGAAAGATCCTAGCTTTGGATTTTTATTTGAAGTCTTTGGGTTTAACTTGTACGAACCTAACAGTGCTACTGACTTTGTGTGGCAGCCTGTGGCACCCTTGAAAGGATATCAAGACTCCCCAGGGCGCCCTGGTTGAGACTCACTGGTCTAGGCAATTGGGATCAGTGATATGTACCACTTACTTTCAAGAAGAGGTAGACAGCAAGCTGCTGAAATTTGCCAATGATCCAATTCTTTGGATAAGTAACAATTATTGGGGGACTGGGAGACTCTAAGTAGCTCTTTACAAAACGGTAAAATAAACTTTTTGTATTGTGTGAAGGATTTGGTATTTGCTATCAGTAGAAAGAAGGTACTGGATTATTTGGAACAATAGGTTTTGTTTTTTGTTTTGTTTTTTTCCAGTTTCTGTCTCAGTGATTCTCAGGGCACCCTGGGGTGTCTTGAGAGCCCTTGAAGGGTGGTGCAGGGTGCTGTGCGATGTTAACACTGTTAGGTATGCAGACATGATTCATAAGGTAAATTTGGAGGCCATGGTCCCTGAGAAGGGGAGTGCAGTTGCAATGGGGAAAAAAGCAGCGACAGAAATTTGTGCTGCTGCTTTTTGTCCTAGTGTACGCCCCTGCATGTTGGGTTAATGCAGGGAAAAATGCTATTGGTGGGGTAGGTGAGGCTGGCACCACCACTGGTGCCGGCCCCCGCAGCTTTACCTGGGGCCTTGGAGTCTTCCTGGGTAGCAGTGGCAGTAATCCGGTCATGTGGAGCCTGGCTGGCAGCTGGAGCATGGCTCTGGCTATCTAGGCTCCAGTTTTGGGTGGCGCATGTTGTTGCCATGTGCCCCACCTCACTTTTTTCTGATGCAGTTTTTTGGTTTTGTTTTCTGGGGGTTTTTTTTGACACCAGGAAATCCTGTTGTAAAAAAACCAAACAAACCAGCCCCTGCCACGCTACTAATTTGCAGCATGATGAATGTGTGCATGTGGGGCGTGTGCAGTTTGTGGCACCGCAGAGGGGTCTGCAGCACTGCAAACCACACATGCACACCCAGAGGTTTCAAATGAATCCAGTGCCAAAAACATTCTGACCTGTTGGGATCTTTCTAAGTTTTTTGACAACAGAAGAATTGCTTTATTATTTTTTCTGGCATTTTCCAAGAGGTGCCTTGAATCAGTCAAGGGGTCCCTTGTGCCTGAAAGGGTTGAGAATCATTTATCTATGTAAGCTACTCCTGATAGGATTTTTCTGCCCCTATCTACTTGATTTGGGATTCCTTTAATGTAGTTGTGGGGGCATCCCCTTCTAAAACTGCATTACTTGTGTTTTCTTTCCTACATTGATTATAGTTTTGCACCAGTAGGCTAAAGAATATAACCCATGTAGCTCAGACATGGGTAATGTGGATTGTTATCAACTCCTCCTTTTATGTAATTTTTAATTGTTGGGCTTGTACGACTTGCAAAAACTTGTGTTTTTCTTCAGTGGCTGCTGAAATAATTACCGATGGTAATAATTGAGAATGGCATTTGGTGTACCTAGACAATATTAAGCTACTGCCTTTAATAAATGCACTATAATAGAATTTAAGTTTCTCATTATTAAAATAATTTTTGGAGAACAGCAAAGTGAATAACTGCTCTGTCCAATGAAATATTCTTCATGTTGGAATGTGTTTAAAATCCAAATGCTAGATTATGATGTTAGTATACAATTGATACCATTCACACATCGAGAACACTATGTCATCTTGCTATGTGTGTTCTGGTAACCCAAATGAGAAACACTCCTGGCTAATAAGGTCTTGAATTGATTAGTTTGACAAGATACTTCTCTAAGAGGAAAAACAGCATGAATAAACAGAAATTTGCTGAAGCAGCACATGGCTAGCAATAGCATGTCCACTCTGCCTGGCAATGATGTTTTGTGATTCTTAGCATTGGTGATGTTATCTATCCTCCAGCTGATTGTGTCTGAATTTCATGCATGCATGTCTGAGATTGCTTAACATGATGGTAAATAATTACAGTCTTGAGGGAAAAGGCTTGTTAACAGCAATCCCATGTCTCCTAGGATTTGTGACACCTGGACAGCTGACTTTGTGAGGGAGGCAACAGTAAACTTACTGTGGAAGTAACTGTAGCTATTCCTTCAATTTGAGTTTTTTTGACCAGAGTAGTATAAACAAGACCACTTGTATATAATAGGTATATTATATTTTTAGTATAAATAGGCACTGTGTCTTATGGAGGGTGCAAAAAGCCTTAAGTGGGCGTGTCACACTTGTAGGATTTGCCATGACTGTTCTATGCAATTTCTTAGAGACTTAATCAAAACTCTTGTTCCTGTCATTTTAGTATGCTGTATTTTTTGAGCAGAATATGGGAAAGACTGTTCTCTCTGCCCCCCCCCCGCCCGCCATTTACAAAAAGAGCACCTTTCAGAAAATCAACTAAGAATATGAAAAAATTAATAGATTATAAAGCTGGAAAAGGACTGTTGTGATCATCTAGTTTGATCTCCTGCATAACAAAGACCGTAGGGCCTCCCTGGCATAATTTGTATTTGAACTAAATCATCCATTATTAAAAGAGAGGTTTTTAGTGAAATGAATCCTTCAAAGCATGGCTATGTTGGTTCCAATGGTTAACTTCTCTCATTGTTTAAAAAAGAAACTTTTTTTCCTAATCTGAATTTGTCTAGCTTCATTCTTAGCCCATCTTGTCTGCTAGATTGAAAAAGCCTTCAGTTCTTCCCTTCTCTTTCCCATGTAGGTACTTACAAATTGATCAAGTCACCTCTACCCCTTTCCTTTAGATTTAATATTAAGCTTCTTGAGCCTTACCTTGTAAAGCCTGTCCAGTGTTTGTGGCTTTTTTTTTTTTTTCTGAACCCCCTTCTTGAATTGTGGACATCAGAAATGGACACAGCTTTCTAGTAGCTGTGATACCAACATAAAACACAGAAGTAATATAATCTCTCTACCCCTGAAATAACATTGTATTTATCTGTAACTTCCTTTATCCTTGTATCACATCAATGTCACACGTTTTAATTTTGCCTTCATTGTAAATATATATTTATTTAAATAGTGTTAACATATTTTCTTCTATCCTTTTTCATGCTGGGATGGAAGGGAATAGAAAAACTAGAAAAAGTTTGCTATTTTTTTTTTGTCTGCCAGAGGGATAAAGCCAATATGAAATCTAGGAGTGGGAGAAAACTGCATAGTTCACTTTCTCAAGGACTGCTACCACTCTTTGGTGTTATTATATGCAACTAAAAGTCACTGCCCAAAACCTCTTGTGGTCTGTTAGACAATAGACAGCAGAAGGATAGATACAGAAAAATGCGGAAGCACTGAGGAACCATGAGACAGCATTGGTCATCATGACGGGCATTAGGCATAGCACACTGGCATTCCCGTCAAGTCTCTTTTT